GTCCTTATTCAACAAGTCCAAGAGTCATAGACTTTGAAGTGAAACAAACTATGAGCTTGATTAAAGCGAACTGAACGGAGCTGGTGTGAACGCATCCTAAAAGAGAATATAACTTTGAAATGAAAAGTGTACGTGTGGGAACCCAGAGCTACTTTCAGCACAACTCCATCAAAACAGTGCATGTGGTGCAATTTTTTTCTGCTCCACTCTTTTCCTTCCTCTCAACTTTCCTCAAACAGTTTAAAGAGGCTTGATCCACACGGTGAGGATGAGAGAGTGCTGTTGAATTTGAAGTTCAAAAGGAATAGTAAATACGGCTTCCTGGTGGTTTAAGAGATCTGTCTTTTGTAATGTCATTTATTAACCAGTTCGCTCCAGATAGGCGGTAAAATCAACAGTTCATGGTCTTATCTTCATCTGCCCTTTGCTCATAGACTCGCCTCTTCCCTTGCTTCAATTTCCTGATACATTTGTTTAACTGGCAGTGACATCACTTGAGATTTCAGGGAAGCTGGTAGTCTGTCATAGTTTTTCTTTAGTAATCTGGATTACAATCAGAACAGCATTTTTTTTTAGTTCTCAGTGAGAACCTCAAGCTGATTATGATAAAGGATTCAGCTGTATTTCAATACGACCAATAGATACATGTAAAATCAATTAGATTATCATATAAAACATTTCAGTAATTCAGTTTAAGAAATGATAAATAATAAGGGGTATATTTGAAGTTGTAATTTTAAAGTTCATAGCTTACGGTTAAAGAAACCCTAAAATCCAATTTCATTGAATATTTACATAGTACATCAGACTATCAAAAATACATTTGAATACAAAAATGTATATGGAAAAGTGTGTCACAGTTGGATACATGCACTCACTTGATCAGGGCTTCTTCTTGCCGAATTGAGTTCGGACTCGATAAAACACAGAGGATTGAATGTCTCCTCAAATCACCAGTGACTGGAACCTTCACACTGGACCCTGAGCAAGTCCCGTTCTGTGACTTTTCACTCTTCTAGAGATTTTAAAATTCAATCTTAAGCATACTTTCATCAAAAAAGACGTTATTTTTTTTAAAGTTGCTTATGATGCTTATGGTTCAGAGACTGCAACAATTATGTCCTGGAAGCATCTGTGTGATGACTCTGACTTTAGCTTCAGTCCACAACTTGTAAATGTTCCCCAACATGTTCCCACGTCGTGGCTTAGATTCAGTCTTTACAACAACATAATTAATAGCTTCCATCGTGAAACCAAGATAGTTAGCGGAGCCCTAAAGCAGTGAAGCCACTCAGAGTGTTGTGTTTCTTTCTTTGCAGAGGTTCTTCAACAAAGAGAGTCTAAATTCAATCAGTCACTGCAGACGAAAGCTGTTGGCCTGACTGAGGAACTGAATCCAATCCCCCCCGCGGTGCCCACAAGCAGGTAGCCGACACAGTACGTGGATGAAAACACACACAGAGAGACTTCATATGGCGGCTCAGTTTTCAGCGCTCTGAATAAGCAGGTTAATCAGGGAGAGCTGAGAACTTCATGGGGGTCTCGGATTAATGTCACTGCCTCTTTAACAGCTCCAGACGCCATAAATGATGTAGAGCGGACAGATTCTCCTCTGTTCGCACCTCCTTTCACTTCAGGCTTCTGCTTGGACAAGCACACCTGAAGCCTTTATAATGCAAATGGTACATAAAAGCAACGTTTGGAACAAATGTTTACACAAGAACAGCGAGTTCATCTACGAATGTCTGAAAGTAAATCCAGAGAACTCTCTGAATCACGCTCGGCCTTTTCATGCATTTCAGGAAAGAAACACAATTTGAAGCGCATGTGTACTGTAAGCAAACACCGAACCTCTCCATGGTTCACCTGAGAAAACATGAAGCACTTTCAAACCTTGAAGTCTTGTGTAAAATTGACTTTTTTGGGGCTTTACATCATGTTAGGATGTTATCCATCCATCCATTTTCTGAACACCCTTGTCCCTCAGTGGGGTCGGGAGGGGTGCTGGTGCCTATCTCCAGCTAACGTTCCGGGCGAGAGGCGGGGTACATCCTGGACAGGTCGCCAGTCTGTCGCAGTGTTAGGATGTTATTCCCTCACCAAAAAAAAAAAAAAAAAAAAAACCTGGAATGTTGCCTTAAATCTTTCATGCATGTTTAAGAAAAACTTTATTCTCCCGTGGCAACCATTCAGCTGTGCAAAACACCTTGGTGGACCTACTGCCGCCATGGGGACGGAGCTCCGTCCCGGAAGTGACTTTTTAGTCACTTTATAGTGACTATAAAGTGTCACTATGTGGATGGAGCAGTAAACTATTACAAAATTGGGTGTTTTACATATTTCTTAAAACTGTCACTGTGTCATGATGACGGTATAACATGACACAGATAAACTGTGAAAAAAAAAGAGCTCCTCTGCCTTCTCCCTTTGGTCCTATTGTCATCTGTAGAAATACATCGCTTGGTCACCCTACCCTGCAACCACACTGGACCCCCCCAGCAATCACTAGTATGAGATCAACTCACCTGCCAAACATTTCCTGACAGGAGGTGGGCTAAAGGCTCCAACCGCACTCTTAAATCTCCAAACATACATCACTTTCACTGCAACAGCAGCCCAGGGAGAACCACCACCCACTCCGGCTACACCGTCAAAACACAACCAACTCAAATTCTGACAATCCCACATCCAAGAAGGGACGCAACACCCTAAGACCCTCTTTAATGTGTTTCGTGCTATTGATAGAAATGCGTTAAGGATGAGCATCTCTTTGTCTTTTCTTTTATTTCATCATATTGGTCTTTCTGATGTGTGCAGCAGTCTGCTTCTACTCTCATTCCCACTGTTCCCAGTGTGCTACATGGAGAATCTCCCAAACTGGTCCAGCATCTCAAAAATGTCAGCAGCTCTGGTCAGATCCCTGCTGAAAGGGTAAGTTTTAGCAGTTTTTTTTTTTTCTGTATCGTCATTGATTAGTTATGGATACCACTACTTTTTCCATTGATGCAATTGGTAATGCAACACTGCTGACTCATTACTTAATTAGGATCTGCATTGCTATATTTAAAACCTACAGTCGTGAGTGTATTCCACTTTAATCATAGTTTTAATTTACTGAGGCTAAGTTCACTTTATAGTTCCTCTTGGTGAGAAGTCATCTCCCAAATGACGCTCACCATAGCAGCAGTGATAGTGAGCATGTTGTGACAATTAGAAAGAACAACTTCCTCACAACAAGAAAACTCCTCCAACAGCATATGTGCATCCCTAAATTTACACAAATATTTAAAGGGTCAATGTTATATAAAATCAACTTTTTGAGCTTTACATCATGCAATAATGTTATTCTCTCATCAAACACGTACCTGGAGTGTTACTTTGATTCTTTCAGGCATGTTTAACAAATCCTTTAATTTCCCGTGGCAACCGTTCAGCTGTGCTAAACGCCCGGGTGGACTTTGCTCCTCCCTGTAGCTGTAATTTCCAAGCTGCTAATGCTTCAGCATTACAGGGCAGCCCTCCCCCACCACTGGGATCTGCTGCTTGTGGCCATGTTGACGTTTTTTATAGAGATTAGAGGTCAGGAGGAGAACGTGGGCTCTGCGATTCGCTGAATGCGGTGGTTTGAGCAGGGAACATTTCTTGCTCTGTAAAACATTCAAAATTCTTGAAATTCTTGACATGTTATAGCCACTCCTAATACAAAGCAGAGTCAAATAAATATTACATAGAATGACTGGAGTAGCTGTGACTTAAGCTGGTGACCAAGTGTCACTAAGAGCAGGGTTCACACTGTATGACTGTCAGCAGGTTTTTTTTGTTTTTTTTTTCTCCAAATCTTCCGTCATTGTCAGGAAAGCTTTGGTTGTGAGATTGACTGAATCATTCAGACAGCCCTAAACATCACGTACCATCTAAAGTTGATCTATGGGAAATACCAAGCATCGTTTAGCATGACAACATGACTGCTACTGTAACTCATTTGTCACCATTGTCCCTTTTTCTCTAAGTTATGACCTGACCAAATGGAAACAATAGTGATGATGAGTTAATTTGTATACTTACTGTTGGGCTGGTTTTCTTTTGTTGGATCATTCTGACAAGATTCCACTGAAGCAACCAACTGTGGACTCATTGTGTCTCACACACCCAACATATTAAGTAATGTAGGGTACGCCGACTGAGAGGCTCAAGTCCTGTTGGACTTTCTTGGCACAATGCTCGGCAGGCTAAGAACACAGCTACTGTTGCTCTGTGCCGCAGAGCACAGAGCAAGTTGGAAAGAAACCTAACTTTCCAACTTTCTCCGTAGGAGCTTTGCCACTTGTGCACACAGCGGGCTCTGAGGAATGTTCCAGAGAACAGACGGGAGCGACGAGACGCAGAGGAGAAAGCTCACGGAAACCTTTTACTGCTTAAAGAACAGCTGAGAGATGAGCAGGAGATGGAGCAAGAGCTGGTGTGTGCCAGTGTACATCCGGAACACATCAGTTTATTTGTATTTAGAGTTTAATTACAAAAGGCTACAGGTGAGGTGAAAGTGTGCTGTGCAAGTCTGAAAAAATGTGAATATGACCAAAAAAAAATCCCCTAAGTTTCCTAAAATGTCTTCCTTTAGTTGGAAAACAACCGTCATTCATCTTGATAACCTCATTCCTTTTAATATTTTTGAAGTCCTTTCTGGAAAATCCTCTCCACATATCAGGGTGAGTTGTTTAATGGAAAAGCAAACTTTGCCAGCAAACTTAGGGAGTTTCTGACTGATGACAGGAGTTCCCAGATAGAGTCCAGGGTCAATAAACACAAAAAGAAATGACCAGGAAACAGAGGACTGGTTCATCCAGAAAAGGACACATAGAAGCTGCTGGATCCTGTGGTGGTAATTCGCCAGAAAAGTTTCTCTGCCAATAATGACCTTTTCCGATTCCAGAAACAAAGGAATTCCAACGAAAGGTCAGAAATGAGGGTAACTCCAGCCATGGACCAAACACTGAATTAGAGGAAATGAACCTCACTCACAGATCTCTGTTTACTAATTAAAAAAGGATACTCTGTAGATAAAAATGTATTATCGTGATTTACTTAAGTGCTCTCCATTGGCTGAGACGCAGCTGAACAAAGCAGCACGTGTTGTGTGATTTATTGATGTCACCTTTCCTCATTTTTCCAGCGTAGATGAGATCTGCTCCCCACAACAATAGCCACAAACTCTTTGTTACGCCAAAGAGTTTGTCGTCACAAGCTCTGCTGAAATTAAATGTGTAGGTTCCCCATTTCTGTGAAGGACAAACCACTTTGGGTAACACTTTATTTGAAGGGGGTTGAATAAGACTGTCATGACACCGTCATAAACATGACATAACACCTGTCATGAACATCAATAAGCCTTCATGAATATTTATGACTGTTGTCATAAAGCGTCATTCGGTAAATTATGACACTTTTAATACAAAGTTGACATTACTCGAAATGTCTTTGTTATGACAACTTGACATTAACCAAGAAATCATTACTGTTTAAACTTTATCTTTAATAACATAAAGTTACCTAATTTTTAAAGTGCAATCAGTAATACTTTTATAACAAATTTATACCAGTAATTATTTTTTGGTTAATGTCAAGTTGTCATAACAAAGACATTTTGAATAATGTCAACTTTGTATTAAAAGTGTCATAATTTACCGAATGCTTTATGACAACAGTCATAAATATTCATGAAGGCTTATTCATGTTCATGACAGGTGTTATGTCATGTTTATGAAAGTGTCATGACAGTTTTATTCAACCCCCTTCAAATAAAGTGTTACCGCACTTTGTTAGCCATATAATGCCAGTATGGAGATGAATGACCATCAACATTATTGCACCCATTTCAAATGTGCCCAGAACTAATGCACATCTCAAAACTAGAACAATCCCAGTATTGGTAAGATGACCTCTGTGTAAAATGAAACAACCACTACAACAAATTACATTTCTATATCCAAAAGAGTATGTTTAATTACGCTGATTTATGTAAAACTGGAAAAAAAAAATGCTAATAATGATTGTCAACATGTTTATTGAAAGTGTGTTTGTCTTTAGGCAAAACTAACTGAGCAGCATGAGCAGGCAAAGAAGGTGGCTGCGTTCAACTTGCACATGTCGAGGCGGGAGAAGAGCTCCCGTTTCGACTGTCCTGTGAGTAGAAGTAAAACCGACAACCTTTACACATCCTTTTTATTGTACAGTGTGATGGCAACTGTGGTTACTGGCAACATGTAGAAGCGCGTTTTGCATCAGTGAGTCGGTTTTTGGGCGTTAAAGTGTTTTTGATTGCTCGTCTAATTGCAGCTCGGCCACTGATTGTGGTTGCTCCTTGTCACATGCGTCAGTTTAATGTTTTGACCACGATAGAAAGCAGTTTTACTTCACTGGAATCGGTTCAGTTTGTTTTAGCAGGAAGCTTGGGCACTTCTGAAAGAACTGTGGCAAAGTTGCCAGAAAACATAAGTAAGCACAGCAACTTTCCTGTAGTTCACTGACCTCTGAAGACCTTTTAATGTCTCTGGTTCAAGTTATATTTATCTGATTTATTCCAGTTTATATGTCTGATCCATGACTCATCCTCACATGCTATAGTTGTTGAGCTCCTCCAGGTTCTGTGCTTGAAATGAAGCTCTTTCAAGTCTTTGCTTGGAAACTTAAGTGAACTTCATGTCCGAGTCACAGACTCCTCCAGACTGCTTGGCATGAAATGAATTTATTTGTTGTAATGTTTTGCCTCATTCTCACCGATAAAAAAATGGTCAAAATCAGACATTACCAAAAATTCTGCCCACTGATGAGAGGAATGCAGACATTTTTCCACTGCATGTCTCTCTATTGGACCACTTTAACTGACCACATGTGAGCTTTAACGGTTAACAGATGAACTGGTCTTACTGGTACTGAATACTGACTTTTCGCTGGAGGATCTGCAGTGCAGGAAGTTCTCATTCCATGCCATCGCAAATGCGTCGGTGTTCTTTGCTAACACACAACAGATATTTCTTGTTCACGTCAGAAGAATTTGCACAAGACTAACTTAAGGAAAATATGGGGTTTGTTTTTAGTTTTTTTTTATTGCCGTGTCTCCTCCGGGTTGTTCTTAGAGATCATTCGTCTTCCCGGCTCGACCAGTCACTCCCCCGAAGAGGATACGGCAGCATCGTTACGGGAGTGATCTACGGAGCCAGATGGAAAGGAGGCAGCAACTCGTGGCTCAGGACCAGCAGTACCGCCTTCTTACAGAGCGACTTGACCAGATGCAGCTGATACAAGAGTGAGTTACTGAGCAGCAAGTCAGATATCTGGATTTTATGTGTTTTGCAACCTGTGTGTGTATGTATGTGTCCATATGTTTTAATTTCAGGATAGCTTTGCAGAGGGCTCAGCAGCTCCAGAAGAAACTGGAGAAAACCAAGCATTACAGGAAGGCTCTGGACGCTCAGGCTAGGAAACAAAACCATGTCCAACTATTGATATTTCTTTCATTTACTTGGAAAGACTTATCTTTGTGCCCTTCCCATTTCTGGAAGTGATAATAGCAAGTAAATTGAGGTCAATAGTTGACATTATGGGTGAATGTCATTTTTTTAGTGCGCTTTACCAATGTTCATCCACAACCTCCTCAAACATAGCACAACATAAATTTATGAAGCATTTGCAACCAAAATGTTTCGTGTTGATTCCCTTTTAGGTGGAGGACAAGATGTTCACATCATGTTCTGAGTGTCCGCCTGACAAACCAAGACTAACTCGATGTGAAACAGCAATTAGGAGGGCAGAGAGCCGAAAGAGAGCACAAAAGGTTTCCTACCTTTTGATTTTTTTTATTTTTAACTATTGATTATTTTCTTAAGGGCCTGGGTTTTCATCAGAACTGTTCTTTTAGACCTGTGTTTTGTACTCTTGCAGCTCTTTCAGGCGAATTTCGGCGTTGCCACTCAGAGAAAGAGGGAGGAGATGCAGAATCGTCAACTACAGCTGGAAACAGAAAAGGAAATGCTAAAACACACTAAAACAGAGTGAGGGCATAAAATCTGATCCCAGAAAGACGTGCGAGGGAAAAAAAGTGTGCACCTAAAATGTGCTCCCCCACCCTCTGGACAGGTTAATGCGGGACGCCACCAATCATTTTGAAAAGAAGCGTGCCGTCCGAAAATCGCTGGAGGACGACTGGAGTCGAAGTGCCGAGCTCAAACACAAGCGAGAGGATGAGGAGAGGCGCTTCCTGAGGTGTGTTGTTGAAAGACACCCAGAAACATCCTGAAGCAGATAGAAATATGAATCTGGGCCCCTCAATTTAATGTCTTTTACTGAAATTTGTGGAAACAAAGCAATAAACTAGATGGGTATTCAACAGCGCACAATAAAACCATAGGAAATGAAAGGGAGGATGCAGGTGATTCCTGAGCTTAGATTCTTCATCATCCGCGGAAGGATTGTAAATCACTTTTCCATATCTTTTTTTTTTTTCTTTCAAAATATAATTTAATTCGTTTCCAAACATGTTCCCCTTCTCTGCCTTCCATGCCTCCCTGATTACAGGTCTCCTGGAAAACTCCTGGTAGACAAGCTCGAAGAATGCCAACGCTGCTGGAGGTGTAAAAGGAGGACCACCAACTGCGGAGAAACCAACATATGGAAGGACTCCCGTTACCTTTCAGGTTCACAGTTTATGATCTGAAGCAGAACGACGTTACAAATTGAACATGTCGTTGCTGCATTGCAGCCCAGTGCAGTATGCACCATTTTAACTATTCTTGATCACTCTTTCACAATTATAATGCGCAATTCGTATATGCTCTGTGTGTGTTATTTGTTTTTTTGTTGTTGTTTTTTTTAGCCGTTTTAGACTCTGGAAGCTTTTTTCAGAGATCCATAAGTGTTTCTACAGAATAAGTTTGAAATAGGATTTGACGATTGTGAGCTTCATTTCAACGCTGTGCATTTATTATCATTAAATTAAAGAAGCAAGCCTTCTCAGAGAGAATCTGTTCAAAACAGGCGACTTGCATTTAGAAAGATTTAAAGTGATATGGAAATACCCTTACTTATACTGCAGTTTAAATGAAGCTTAATTGGTACTTAGGAAATTCTTGAAAAACAGTATCCCTCAGTATCCCCTAATCTAACCAGCTGCAACTTGAACAGGATTACTGCATATTTTCTGCTGCAGTTACTGTGAATGAGTGTAACACCCACCTGTTTTGCAGTATTTATTCTACTTGAAAGCTTTTCTAAATACTTTTAAATCTCCTGGGACCACCTGCGAGTTTCTGCAGGCTCACAGAAGTGAGCCTGCAGAAACCCAGTGTGGAAGATCACTTTCCATCCTACAAAGCGTGGGGATTTTTCTTTTGACTTAAAATATGGAAAATGGCAAAACAAACAAACAAAAAAAAGACAACTGGGCCTTTACAATATCTCAACAAAACCATTGTGTTTGCGCTACATGTCCAGGCTTTGTACATGGCAGTGAAAAACACGATGAAATAACAGATTACAGATAAAAACAGCAAGAAAAGACATTTTTTCCCCCCCAAACTCACCAGCTTCATATGCCATTCTGTTTCACTTCAGGATATGCTTTTTTTTAAATATATAAATACAAACATTACATTATTATTATTATATATTATTACATATTATTACATTATGCCCCTTACATTGGGTTCACGTACTATTAGAGTTTTACTTTAGTGGTAACTAATTACTGAGGGCCCCCAGCTACATTGCCCTGGTTATATGTGGGAATCCTTTTTGAAAGCTGTCTGCACCGTCTCTAGGATCACAAATAGAAATTCAGTAATATCTAAAGCTGAACTGCGCCTTTCTTAGTTGAGCTGAACCACAATGCCACGCTTGTATCCCACACTATGCTCCGTAATTGCTCAGTGAAAGTCTTAAACTGCACTAAATAGACAAACCCGTTTCAAATAACGCCTTAGGGAGGAGACTTCAACCAGACAGACTGCACATACTTGTAAAAGTGTTGCAATAAAAAAAACAGCAAAACAAAAAATTACCAACCACAGATTCTCAGAGGAGCTTTATTTGAACCTGTTAATTTATCGTTCCAAAAGCGTCGGTGTGATTAATTGTTAGCTTAAGCAGGGGCGGCCCTAGCCTGTTTGATGCCCCGTGCGAACCACCTGCTTTAAATTATTTCTTCCTATTTTAGTTTTAGATAGACATTTCATGACGTTTCATATCACAATAAGAAAACCAAGTTCATTTTTAAAGTTTGAGTTAAAAATACTCAGTTTTTTTTTGTTTGTTTTATTATTTATTTTTTGCTATATTATGGTTGGATGTCTCCCCAGTGAAGTGTACCAGACACGTTGCACCAGGTGGAGACCCAGACAAAAACCTGGGTCACGCTGGAGAGATTATGTTTCTGGCTGGCCTGGGAACGTCTTGGGATTCCCCTGGAGGATCTGGCCTAAGTGGCTGGGAAAGAGGGAAGTCTGGGTCTCCCTGCTTAGGCTGCTGCCTCCATGACCAGACAGATTAGGCAGAAGATAATGAATGATTATAATTATTATGTTTTTTTATCCTCTATTACTTTATGAACCAGGAACAAAAGCCAGCACTGAGACTATATGCAATTGTTGATTCAGTGAGTCTGATACATATTCATCTTACTCTGTATTTATTGCAGACAACCAATGAAAACTGCCTTGCTGGCTAACTCAGGTACACAATCAGTAATGTATGTACGTCACTTCTAATAACTTGAAAAATTAGAGCAATAATGCTACAGTTGTTCACTAGATGTCTTAAATGGTCTGTTTAAATTGGCCTTATACAATTTGGCAAGATTGTTCAAATCAAGTAATTCCTGGTCAAAGGTAAGACTTTGGGTACGCCGGCATTTCAGTGCTACTGCAAACTTTGACAGGTTGCAAACTGTTTGCTCAAATGTTATTGAATGTAATTTTCACCTTTATCCAGAAGTGAGTCAAAGATAACCCAACACTAATTCAATCTGCTGCAAGGAGATTTGGTCTGAAGACGGGATATTTTAGGGTATTTCCAGACTATTTGATATGTTTTGAGCAAAACCTGACAAAGATCGTTTGTCAACTTGTGCGTACTTGTGGAAAAGGGCTGTTATTTCATCCTTCACCAATCTGTGAGCCAGTGTAACAGACTGTGTCCATTGGTTTCTAAACCCTGTTCTGCTATTTTTTGCTCAAACATACCACATTCTACCACAGAATGTCTGCTTGGGGTTATGAGAGGCTAAGACGTATGCCATTGTTCAGCACCATGAAATGTATTCCCTTTGGTTCAAAGCAGATCACAGTTCCTTTAGTGAAATATAGACAGTTTCTCTCTTTCTTTCAGACTCTCCATGTTTGCATGTCTCACTGCTTTTTGTTTCCAAGAACAGGAAGAAGTCCACTGGCAGCCAAATAGTGCTTGACTTTATTATAATAACTATCCAAACATCCGTTTAAAGATCCTTACGGTTTCACCCTACCCACAAGCCATCCTAAAATGACCAGAAGAGGAACCCGAATAAACAAGCTGCAACGTGCAAACAAGATGGTTCCCTAAATGTCAGAGACCAGTCACTGTTAGAGAGAAACGAGCAGAAAATATAACTGTTGTGTGATTCAACATCCTGCAGGGTTTATAGCGGGGAAAAAGCAACAACAAAAATAAACCATTTAATTATAAATGTTCGCATCAGTTTACCACAACATAGAAAAGGTCTTTTTAATTTTAGAGTCTCTCATAAGTCTTCTATATATTGAATGTCATCAAAAGCTAAAAGAAGTTTTATATTATATATATATATATATATATATATAAAACAAACAGTTTCAAAAATTATATTATTGATAAGTTGGAGTCTTCATTTCAAAAGCCCCAGTGGAGGCAGTGTAGGAGATAGGAGAAGACAACTTGTGCCTTAGCTAGAAAGTTCAGATGCAAACAAGCAGATATAGATGAACATGTTCAATTTCATCACTTCCGTCAAACACTGCAGACTAAATAGTTACAGTAAAGGTTTATTGTATTTCTCTTGATTTTAAACTTTGTTTGCATACACAAATGTGTCAGTTTCACAGATATTAACTCAATTAATATCCCCTACTTGATACATACGTTGTAATATGATGTCTTATCGTTTGCAGCTCTTCTGGGATCGTTTTTCACTGGGGCTAGGCGGTTTGTGGGAAGCTTTGACGATTCTTCTGGAAGTGAATATGTGAGGTCAGACACTGATGTTGGACGAGAAAGTCTAGCTGGTCTAAAGGTTTTCTACCAGTTTGAGGACAAGATGTTCCACATCAAACTCACCTACAAGTAGCTTTACCACACCATACTGTTCATTCTCCTTGAATAATGTTAATATGGAGATCGCTACTCTTACTTGAGTAAAATTTTGGGACACTACCCACTGTGAAGGAATGAAGAACAGGCATATTTTATCCTATGCTAAACTGGAACTTTTTTGTAAACCAGTTTTGAAATTCTAACATTATTTTCTACCTGCTAAGCTTGGGGTCATGTTAACAGTAAAAGGTATAAATTATAACTAGAAGTACTTTACTTCATTCTAACATTACCAATTGTGTCAATTTCATAAGTTTTGTATTTAAAAAAATGAAAAAAAAAAATTTTTCACCTGAATTTATTATTTTGTAATAATGTTATTTGTATTTTTTTGTTGAAGTTTTAAAAATATATATATTTTATGTATCACTTAAATTTTTTGTCTGACATTTTAAAATATTCAAATTATACAAATCATAACTTCCGTATAGAAACTTAGATAGCAGTGATAACTATTTCTGATTCAGCATCTTTACAGAAAATTATAAACAACAGCATAATAGTTGAAGTCGGACAATAGATCCTTTTATGTCTGATTGTAAATTTATATCAATGCCTTCCAGCTGACAAGTACAAGCCATTAACCTGCCTTTCATCAGCTGCACATCTGATAAGAGTGAATGATTATGACTGTGAGAAAATACATTTATTATCAAAGGGAGATCTGGCATTTTTTTGATCATATCTGAAAGCTACACAGTCAGCCAAGTTTCAACAAGTTTTTCATGTGATCTCATGCACACACACGCAGAAGTCAGGCGGTCTGTGTGAGTGCATTTCACAAAACACGCATACAAGCATAGCATGTCGAAAATGCAATTTCCTTAAAAACAACCACATCAGCAAGTTTTCCTGCAACCTCCACCTTTCCTTTTCCTACATGGATAAGAGTCTGGATCCTTCTGCATCACGTGTATAAAAGGCAGCACACAGCCGAGTGGATTTCACCTGAGGGGATTTGCTCTTTGAGTCCAGTGCCGGTTTTGATTTAGTTTACTCAGTGTTGACTTCTTCTTACTGGACATACTTTTCGCTTTCATCCTTTTCTCTCTCTGACCTTTTACAGGAACAGTGTCACCGTTTCTCTTTCTCTACTTTTCTTCTTTTCAATGTGATTAATTTCCTTCTTGACAACTGTTGAGATTGAGAATCTCAATCGATGAATCATAATTTGTATTGACACACGGAGCATAAAATCAGCCAAGAAAAGCATTCAGACTTTACTTATTTTATTAACTTTCAGCGCTGAAAGGAGACACTTTACCATTACATCCGAGAAGAGTTTCTAAAAAAGTCTGTGCAGTCTGTGAAAGAGGAGGGCAGCTGATTATATGGACGGAAGACACTCCCTGAAATCATACCATGCCTCTGTGGCCTGATAAGTTTCTGTTTCTCGTGAGAAATGGACCTTGGTGTCTAACAGAATCAAAAATGTAAATCTTTACTATGGGCCCTTGGTCTAACAGCGTGCGACTCTTTCTCGGCCTTGGTAAAGCATCTCAACACATAATAGTAATCATAATGATTTAACTAATTTACTAATCTCAACACAACCCATTTTTGTCCTCCACATATCTGTAGAATTGTGCTCCCCTCATTGTTTTGCCTAAATACAGTCCCTG